TACTTACATAAATTTATGAGTTGAAATTTCAATTCTGATTGAAAAAGACCATCAAGAGCTCCTCAGAATGTAAGTTTTGTGCATTTGTAATTAGATTGGTGGATTTGGGAGTTTTTGGTTGATCCGTGTTTGTATGCAACGTTTTTTTGTTGATTGTGATATCTGAACTAATCGATCATTATTTTCTGCCAGGTGCATTCTAGAGGAAAAGCTCTTGCAAAGGATGTTGACTTTGAAAAAATTGCAAGGAGAACCCCGGGATTCACAGGGGCTGATCTGCAGAATCTGATGAATGAGGCAGCTATTCTTGCAGCCAGGCGTGACCTCAAGGAAATAAGTAAAGATGAGATATCTGATGCTCTGGAAAGGATCATAGCTGGTCCCGAGAAGAAAAATGCTGTAGTCTCAGATGAGAAGAAGAAATTAGTAGCCTATCATGGTGTGTAATTTTTGTATGTTAAATATCTACTTTTGGTAAGTGTTGGTTTGTCTTTGGCAATTCAACCTTTTTTTCCTTGTTGATTTTCAGAGGCTGGCCATGCTCTAGTGGGTGCTTTAATGCCTGAATATGATCTTGTAGCCAAGATATCAATTATACCTCGTGGCCAAGCTGGTGGTCTCACATTTTTTGCTCCAAGCGAAGAGAGGCTCGAGTCTGGATTGTACAGTAGAAGCTACTTGGAAAATCAGATGGCTGTTGCTCTGGGTGGAAGGTCAGTGCACCATGCACTACACTTAAACATGCACAATTACCTTGTTTCATTTAGGATTTTGATGTTTGCGAGTCACTCTTTTATCACAACTACTCCACTTGTCAATTGCTACTGACTGATCTGCATATGAACTGCTGTTACTATTGTATCCTGTTGTATATTTTTATGGGATGTGATATGCAGAGTTTTGAGCTTTGAAAATTATCTGACAAATTCCATATCTGTATGGCAAAACAGAGTTGCAGAAGAGGTTATTTTTGGCCGGGAAAATGTCACCACCGGAGCATCAAATGACTTCATGCAAGTTTCACGAGTGGCAAGGCAGATGGTTGAGAGATTTGGGTTCAGCAAAAAAATTGGACAAGTTGCCATTGGTGGACCTGGTGGAAATCCATTTTTGGGTCAACAGGTAGGCTGTGACCAAAATTAGTTGGATGCCTCTGGCACTGTAAACTAAGTTCTTGAACACCAATATATGCCTCACCATTTCAAATGATTTTTATTGCAGATGTCAACACAAAAGGATTACTCCATGGCAACTGCGGATGTAGTGGATGCGGAAGTTAGGGAACTGGTTGAGAGAGCATATTCTAGGGCAACACATATTATCACAACTCACATTGACATTCTTCACAAGCTTGCTCAACTTCTAATAGAAAAAGAAACTGTGGATGGTGAAGAGTTCATGAGTCTATTCATTGATGGAAAAGCCGAATTATATGTTGCATAGTCATACACGTAAGTCATAGAATTATGTTTGTACTATAAAATACGCTCAGACATTTACAATGTAAGAATCAGTTATTTGATCAAGTTAAAGGAGAAAAAAATTAGCACAACAGCTTACGCAGAAATAAATGTTTACTTCTACTTACGTCCCTGTGTTGTTACAGCACCTTTGATTGAACTTTGAAGTTCATTTCCAACATCCAAGTATACAAAGGATTTACAGCTAAAATAACAGAATTATGAACATGTGGTTATTTCGCTCCTCGCATTTTCTCTTCGTGAGCTGCGGCCTCATCAACATGTCTGCTGGCATTATTCATGTTTAATTTGGAAAGAGCAACCGTTTACATGTAAAATGTCGTGGATCAGTCAGGATAGACATGTTGAGCTAGCATAGCATCTCTGAGAGCTGTGTCTGGTTGATTGCTAAATTGATGGAAAAAACCTACTTCATACATAGACAGTTTAGGAAACCGTGATTCCAACATTAATGAACGATGAATGCTACTGTAGATCACCGTGTCATATGGTGCATGGGTGGACTAAAAAAATAGAAGGATAGTTTTCATGTGGTTTAACAATGGAGAAGTAAAATAATACAGTCAGAGATATAAATAATTAAATTGAACGGCAAGTTTATTTTGGTGATAAATTTTTTATTAATGTATTAATTTTATTTTCTAGTGATCAATAACTATTTTGTCCAAAAAAAAAAAAAAGACTTAAATCCCACTAAGCTATCCTAATCTTCCCTTTTACTTTTCCAATGCCACCTCATTGCCTCCATCTATTCCTTCGACTTTGATAATTAGATAACACTCCCACTTATGTTTTTTTGTTGTTTATAATCCTTTTCCTTCCAACCCATTCATGATCAAGGAATCCCAAAAATCAAATTTGACAAAAGAAGTGTGGGCCGTCATTGATTTTCTTTTCCCACCAATTACTCAAGCTGAACCAAAACTCGTAGAAAAGTCAATAACTACCATTGAAGTTGAAGTTGAACCTAACGACAAACTAGCAAGCATCAAAGAAGTAAAGAAGGTCTATAAAGACAAGATTTCCAAATCAATTTCCTTCAAGGAGGAGATTAACATGTTGATCTCCCTTGCCCTTGTTGTAGCCGCAAGACCATCCTCCTCACTCCATCACTTGCACTCCTTTAGTCTCGCTCCCAACAACTTTGCCTTTCCCTTCTTCCTCTCTTGTGTTGCCCTTGCCCCCTTTTGCCATGCCTGCATCGATCATGACTTCATTCTTAAGCTCGATCTGTCCTTTGATCGCCACACCACTCACTCCCTCATTATTGCATACTCGTGCAAACCACCCTCCTTACTCCACCTTTAATATCGCCACACACCCTCGCCATAGTTGCACCTCTCGTTCAAACCCTTAAAGCCTTAATCTACTTCCATAAATTCACTTCATTTGCGTTGAGTTCCGTGGTGGGGACGACAACTAGAAGGTGGCCATCCTTGATGAATGGGTTTGCGACAAGTGCGTCGTCGTCAAAGTGAAGGACGAGTGGTGACTGTTAAGTGCAAATAACTTTTTTAAAAAAGGAATTTTTAGTAATTTTAAATAAAATAAAATAAATAAAAATAGTTATTGTTCACTTGTGCAGCGGTAGACAATATGATAAACTTATTCACCATAATCATCACCTTAATGAATTACAGATTTAAATTGAATAAATAGAATACAAGCAAGTACACCAAATTCTTTACTCATGTCATTCTCTCTTCCTTCACATTTATCAAACATTAAACCTAACTACTAGGACATGACGTGGGATTGTGGCTGGTGGTACTATGATAACACATTGTAGGGCATTTGAAAGGAATTCAGATCCTCTCGTATGATTTTTCTATATTTGAAACACAAAATATACATCACATTTTCTCTTGGTTGTTGTGTAATGGAAAATTTAATGGTTTACATCCCGACTGAATATAGGGTAGACTAAATTCAGTGGATGAACTAAGTAGTAATATTTCACTTGTAAAAGGCTAATTCTACGACTCAAACTTTCAGACCTAGTGTCACATGACAATTGTGGTTCTAAATTTATTTGAAATGTAGAATCTAGGGGAGGATCTATATGCACAATAATGGGGGCAAGTGCCCCCACTACGATTTTAGGCATACATACTTTTTATTTATTTATAAAGAAAGTAGTATATTTTAAAAGATAAAAGTTATATTCTAATAAAATAAATATATATGTTTTAATTATTGTATGTATAAAACTTAAATTTAGAGGAGATGTCTACTTATTTAATGTTTTTCAGACTTTCAAAAGAGATTAATTTTCATATATGACGAAAAATACTTTTTTGATAACAAATTAAACTTTTTTTTATAAAATTTAACATATTTACTTTTATATTTTTATCCGTGTTAAATTATAATAAAGTAGACTTTTAAGATTGTAGTTATAACCAAATATTTAAAAAATATTTATGATAAATAAATAAATTATACTTAAGATATGTATTTTTAGCAAAAGTTAGATTCAAATCTACTAAATTATAATATAACCTAGTTTGATTTAATTTATTTTTACTCATAATTGTAATTGTAAATATAAAAACTTATAAAAAATAATTATGATTTATATTTATATTTTTAAAAATTATATATAAAATTTTTAATATTACAAATATATAAATAAATATTATTCATATTATATAAATAAAATTTCTAAATCCGCTTAGAATTTAGGATTTAGAGTAAAATCTATACTTGAGAAATTACGATGAATTGTGGTTCTAAAATCTTTGTCACAAGGTGACAAGTCATAAAGTCACAACGTTTTTTTTTCCGTCAACACATCCCTCCCTTGTTTGTTGAAAGTGTTACAATTGTACAAAACTTCTATCTTTACTAGTTAGCAAAACCTCACAACTCCCTTCGTCATCTTTGTAGTTTGGTCATTAATAAAATCTGAAGAATAGCAACAAGACCATACGAGATCAAGCACAGGCATCGTGGATTAAGGATGTTATGGGGTTAGGAGGTACTTTCTCACGATTGGGTTCTTCTAATGTGCTTATGTCCATGCTACACTTTTGAAGATAACGTTTGTACATCCCAATCTTTTATAATTTATAAAAAAGAATTGGTTAGATCATTAGAGCTCATTTAAAATTGTTATCAGATTTATTTTTGATAAAATAAAAATTATATCATTAAAATTTTAAAAAAGATCAACAATTTTTTTTTCCCAAATTAGAGTGAAATGAGGGAGAATAACACTTTCTTTCTCGTTGTTATTTATTTAGTTTCTTCGAAAGTAAAATAATTTTTACGTAAGAATATTATTAAAAACCATAAAAAAAAACTTTAATTTTTAAGTTAAATTTATTTTAAATTAATTTACAATTCATTTTTTCTTCTTTTTCACTCATCTAAATATAATTTTTTAGTCCAAATAATATATTATTTTTATTTTATTTCTCGTACACGTCTATGCTTTTGTTTTTTTTGTTTTTTTTCCTCTTATTTCAATTTGAATAAATTCTATTAAAAAAAATAATAAAAAAAAGAGCACAAGAAGTTCACGTGGGGATGCGCCACAGGCGATGCACAGCAAAACCCTAAGCAGAGCAAGGTGCAGCAAGTGCGGGAATCCCTTTTCCCTTCCCTTCGGAAACGCAGTCCTTTCTTCTTCCTTCTCCCCTGTCACCTCATTCCCATTTTTGGCGATATCAAAACCCAATGGAGCTTCCCATAGATAAACGACTCCAAACTAGGTCACGTATGCGAGAAAGAAACCCCACTTAAATCCATAGCCAAGTGATTGCCTCACGCACTCGCACTTTCTAATAACTAGAAGTGTGAGATTAGAGGAAACAGAGAGGCCGCAGGCCCACGCGGGCCCAAAGAAGGAAAAACCTTAGCGGGTGCATTTGCGGTCAGTTGGAATTCGGAACCGATGTTATCGCCTCGGTTGCCATGGGTTCGATCAGAAGGGCCGAAGCCTGGTTCATCAAGATCGCTTGCACCGTTTCCGTTCGCTTCAACTCGCTGGACCCCTTCTTGGGCTATTTCAGTAAGCACCTAACCCCGTCGCTCGTTTACGAGGTCGTCAATAAGCTAAACGTTCCCGTTTTCGGCTTCAAGTTCGTTGAATTCACTAGACACAGCTTGCACATGAATCACTCTTATTTCACTTACAATTTGCTCTTGAGGTCGCTCTGTGGGTCCAATCTTCACGGCGCCGCCAAATCGGTCTACGATTGGATGAGGTGTGACGGCCTGGTTCCTGATAATTGGTTGTTAGGGTTTTTGGTTTCCTCGTATGCTCTTGTTGGCAGCTTCCATGTTTCCAAGGAATTGCTCGCGGATGTTCAGTGCAACAATGTTGGAGTCAATGCTGTTGTGTATAATGACTTGTTCAACATTTTGATTAGGCAGAATAAGGTAGTTGATGCGGTTGTTCTGTTTAGGGAGCTTATCAGGTTGCAGTATCGTCCCGTGACCTACACCGTCAATATTTTACTGCGAGGGTTGTGCAAGGTTGGGGAAGTCAACGAGGCTTTTAAGCTTCTTGAGGATTTCAGGAGTTTTGGTTGTTCGCCGGATGTGTATTCGTACAATACTCTCATTCACGGTTTGTGTCGGATTGGTGAGGTTGATAGAGCTAGAAGTTTGCTAAGGGAAGTTTGTTTGAGTAGGGAGTTTGTCCCTGATGTTGTTACTTACACGACGATAATATCGGGTTATTGCAAGTTGAGTAATATGCAGGAGGGGGCTTTGCTTTTTGATGAGATGATTAGATCTGGAACTGCACCTAATACTTTTACGTTTAATGCTTTAATTGATGGCTTTGGTAAGTTAGGTGACACGGCTTATGCGCTAGCCATGTATGAGAAGATGGTTGTTCATGGTTGTGAGCCAGATGTTGCAACCTTCACTTCTCTAATTAGTGGGTATTTTAGAGTTGGGCAGGTGCACCAAGCAATGGAAATGTGGCATAAAATGAAGGACAAAAATATTGGTGCAAGTTTGTATACATTCTCTGTTCTTGTCAGTGGTCTTTGCAATAGTAACAGACTACGTGAAGCTCGTGACATTTTGAGACTTTTGAGTGAGAGCGGCATTGTTTCACAACCATTTATCTATAATCCTGTTATTGATGGATATTGCAAATCCGGCAATGTTGATGAGGCTAATAAAATTGTGGCAGAAATGGAGATGAATAGATGCAAGCCTGATAAGTTGACGTATACCATTCTTATTATTGGGCATTGCATGAAAGGGAGAATGTTTGAAGCAGTAGGTGTCTTTGAAAAGATGTTGGCTGTTGGCTGTGCCCCGGATGAAGTCACTGTAAATAATTTAAGATTGTTTCTTTTGAAGGCTGGAATGCCTGGTGAAGCTGCCGGCGTGAAGGAAATTCTTGGTAAGAGGCTGACTTTGGGTACTTCATCATTGAAGAAATCCTACCTTGAAAGCGCAAATACAGATATCCCTGTTGCTGTTTATTGAAGTGCTATTCTTCCACCATTATATGCCTTGAGCACTGGGTGCACATGTTTCCGGCTCGTGGATCAAAGGAATGCTGCTATTGTCAGGCAGAATTTCTTTCTTTCTGGAGATTAACAGTATTTACATTCATCGCCATGCCCTCCAAGTTTGGGCTGATTATTTTTGATCCCAAAGTTAGGTATACTCTAGTTAACTTTGTTGAGTTGATTTTTCATTTTTCATGGTCCCATAGCCGGTCTCAAGCCTGGGTGCCAAAGGAGGAGGGACTGTGTCAGGACATAGGACATTGTCAGCCAACATAAAACTTGTCAAAATCCCAAACATGGATTTTTCATTTTTCCTCTATATTTGAAAATTTGTTCCTTACATGAAATAGGTTTTATTTAGTCTGTTTTTCGGAAAATGTAGTGCTAGTAAATTGATTTTCTTGTCCATATGAAAGTGCATTTACTTAAGAGTATACTGAATTCCTTTTTAAAGAAAATGAATAAAATGAAATATGAAGTTCTCATTTTGGTAAATTTTATGGTAAAATAAAATTATGGTGTATGAAGATAGGAGAATATTATTGAGGATTTACTGAGAGAACACATTTCGAAAGGGATCTTAAGGAAATTCTTATTTTCTTAGCTCAATAGATAATAAGTGGTTGTATCATAAAATTCTTTAACATCATTGTCATCCATGATTGTGTAGAAAGATTCAGATCAAAATGCTTGGAACCCTCTTTAACCACAGGTCAATTGCAGAAAACCTCCTGTGGATTGCAACAACACAACTCCTTGATCTCTAGTAAACTGTGTATTGACTCCATACAGGTGGTTTTCTGCACATGCATTAGCGGTTAAATTCAGTAATTCATTCTACTATGCAAGATTTGGTAAGTTCTGGAACTTGAGTTGCTGAGTTTTTGAACCATGTGGGAATTTTTGGCAACATATAGTTGGTACAGTTTTACATTTGACAAGATATTATCACGGGGCTTCTCAACCAGGCGCTTTTATTGGGATGTCACAATTGGTACAAAGTGGCTTGGTGAGTACAAGGTGATTTTTCGTTTGCCTCATTTTGGTTCATTTTGTTGTTGACAAAACCTAATACATAGAAAATAGGTAAATCTAAAGATCAACAACTTACTACCATTAAGGTTATATTTGAATTTCTTTGTTTTTTGGGATTAGTATGGGCATTTTTATAACATTTGGTCGTTTTGGTGCTATCTTATCTGGGAGAAATTAAATGAAGAATGAATTCTGAATTTTGATGCAGGCTTATGTTCTAGGATAACTATCAATCGATGAAAATGATTTGCTCACAAAATTAGACTTGTATTTGATTAACTGAGGTAATTTATCTTTGGATTATACATGAATTCACTACTTCCATGTTTTCTATTTTAGATAGATGAGGAGAGTCAAGCTACCTATTCTTCTACCTTTATTTCCCCACTATATTTACTTAAATCACTTTTCAATCTTCTTTCTCATGAAAACTAAATTAGATTGTCTAATGTGAAGAAGAGGACGAGCAGCCACAGATGAAAATGATGTTGGATCTGTTGATCATCTTGAGACAGTTAATCTATAAGATATCAAACTAATTAAATACGTTGAAGTAAAAAATATTTTGTAACTAAATTTTGCTAATTATACAAGTATGGTTACTAAAATACACATCATTTACATTTGTAATGCTTAGAAGACTGACTATCCCGAGGTATTGGAACCTAGGTGTAGCTCTTATTATGCGAGTTAAGCTTACTTAATTGAGTAGTAAGCATTGGATTGATGTATTTGTCAAGACTTTTTGATGCACTCCTTTTGGAAGTTAATTCAATTGGGCCATGGTTCGGAGTAATTTAAAGAATACCTCAATCCTTGAGACCAATCTTGCATTATTTCAGTTAAGAATAAAACAATGGTACTAAATATGTTTTTATATTGGTCATTGATTATGTAAGAAATTCATTTCACTCTCTCCTAGCTTTTTATTATTTTTATTTTTTTTTTAGATTTCTCTTGTAAACTATTGGATAATCTTTCTACCGAATTAGAATCATTTCTTCATGAACATTTTGATTAATGAGGATGAAGTACAAGAAATTCTACTGTTATGATCATGAATATAGTAATGAAAATATCTAAATCAATAATCAATGATGCTGATAAGGTCCAAAATTAGTCATTGGGTACAAAAGAGCAGTTAAATCAACCTCGCCAGCTACTGGTAGAAGCAGTGGATAATACATCAAGAGATTAGTGATTCTATATGTATTAGTGGATATTAGTTTTGATGTGAGAAATAGTTTTTTTTTTTCTTTTCATTTTAGTATATCTCTTATTTAGTGTGTGATGTGTCTGTGTTAAGTATGAAATGTATAAAACTCCAATTAAGGGTAGCGAATGGTCTAAAGCTATTAGTTAATTTTGCATAAAAATATGAACTAAATCATTTAAATTTAATTTGCTTAGACAACATTGTGTACAAAGATGATAGGAATTTTTGTTAATTAACTTAACTAAAATGATATTGTTTAATATTATTTTAACTAAATAATAATTTTACCATAACACATTATCCAATTCAGTTCAGATTTTTTGTTGTTGATTGAGATGAATTGATTGATCAAGAGTATTAAATTGGGTGAACTCATTGTGATCGTTAATTTTAACTCTTGATTGTATTATATTTTAAAAAAATGTTTCAAACTTAAATTAATTCTTTTTATGATTTAATCCAACTAACTAGTGAATTATAAAAAAGAAACCTATAATTTTTAATAAAATAAAAATATTTTCCCAATTCAAATAACTATTACTCTTGAGATTTTTGTTACATGGTGCATATTTACATATTGTGTTGCAACAATACATTACGGTTCATTTAGATGGAAGTAGCAAAGAGTCAATCTAGAAGTCCTTGATGATAATATTATTATAATTTCAATATATCTTTTCAATATTATTGTATGACCATTTGCAGTATAATTAATTTGGATATTTCAGTTTTTTTAAAATAAAAATATGTTTGCAAAATAAGTTGTGTTTGGAATAATAGTTGAAATCTGCAAATTTTTTTTTTTGAGAAATAAGATCTTTTCACTCATAAGAAATTTTTTATTTATAATTATTTTTCAATTATTTTTTCCTTTCAATTACACAGGAAAATAATCCATGGAAACTTGCACTACATTTGCTTGGACTGAAATACGGAGGGTAATAGAAGGAACTGAAATGGAAAGATAAAAATTAACAAACATTTCAGTCGTTTTTATTTTTTATTTTTTATTTATTTATTTTTAATTTTTATTAACGGATTGAGAAATGATAAAATTTTGCAGCCGGATTTGGTCCTATCCTATTCCTAAGCGTGAAATGAAAAAAAAATAATCACAATATTAATGTGTTGATCACGCACTTAAGAATTTAATCACATATTACATGTTTTGTTCATTAATACAATAAGTTTTTTTAGGGTAAAATAGTATTTTTAACATTATCTGTTATTTCATTTCTTCCTTAATTACATTAATCCAAATAATATATCTTTTATTTTTATTTCTTTTCTACATTTGTCATTTCTATTTCTTTTATTTATTTTTCCATCTGTTTCATTCCCCCAGAGCATTCATGCTAAATGCTAATCTACACCTAGAGTGTAAATGAGAAAAATAAAATAAAAATACAACATATGATATGATGTGACATAACCTATAAACCACTGATTTTTAATTTATTTTTGATGCTGATACTTAAAAAAAAATATAAAAATATTTTCGGATACTTTTGAAAGCTTCTCTGATACTTCATTGATATGGGTTGAATTTCAAGCCTTTATAAAATTATGGAAATTCAATGCAACTACATGAGACATAAACATTCATAATATATCATTGTTCCTTAATGAACTAAAAATGAAAACGGTCTTTTTATAAACTATTTCAAGAAAGAAATGAAATTGATATGTATTATTCTTAATTGTAAATAATAGAAAATGATTATGTGGACAATGATTTATAATATTTTTTTGTTTTACCATTTTAGTAATATACGATATATATTCTTAATTTGAATTTACAAAATTGTAATTATGTTTTATGATTTTTTTTATCAAAATTACGGCCATATATTTATTATGTTTTATTAATATTAATACATCTCAATTTACTTAAAAAGTATAATATTGGATAGAATAAATATAATTGTATTACATTTTATTTACAAAAGGATTATGGTATAGGATAAAACCAAATGAAGAAGAACAGAACAAAAGTCTAATTATTTGTTATTCAATAGTTTATGAGATAACATTTTGTGTCAAATACAAAAGTACATTACTAATATAGAGTTGTAGCAATACTATCACGACTCTTATCTATTGTTGTCCAACACTATCATCATTATTGTCTACTATTATGGTTGTCGATCACTACAACCGTTGGAACCCACGATTACCTTATTCTTATAATTGTTGTTATTGTCACCACCACCAATATTATTATTATTATCATAATTATTGCAATCATCATCATCATTATGATAATAATTCATTATAATACTCTCTCCATTTTTTTGGTTTGACATTTAATGTTTATGCACAAGAATTAAGAAAATGATTGATATTTTAGTTTTTTCAAAATATTTACTACTTTTTTTTTGTTATACCCTTTAGGTGGTTGGAGAAAAAATATGTATATTGAAAATGAATAAACACATTGTTCAGTAAACACACATTAATTATCAAGAATAAAAATGAAAAGAAAACATTGATTTTAGAAAAATGTTAATGAAAAAATACCAAAAAAATAGTGTCAAAATGACTATAAGAAAAGCGAAGGGAGAATTAATATTAAAAAATATTATATTAACCATTACCCATCTAATAATATATAAAACAAAATGTTTAATAACTTAACATTTAAGCATTTGTCCTATGGTGAACTTGATGCAATTTTTTTAAATAATCAATATCGTCATCAAATACGTTAAATTTATTATAGCAAATAATATGCAGTGTTGACTAGGGATGACAATAGAGTTCTGTGGGGACAAATAGTAAGGTATCTTATCCGTCCCGTTTACTCACCCCATACTTGTGTAGGTATCCGTTAAATGTGTATTTATGAATTTTATAAATATTCACAGGTATTTATGGATACTTATGATTTTTTTTTTTAAGTTAAAAAAATACTACAAATATTTTTAAGCTTATATTTAATATTAAGTATATTGAAATATTAAATACAAATAATTGATATTAATTTTTGAATTTGCAATTAATAATAATTTTAAAAAAATATTAAACATAATATAAAAATATAAGATAAAAATATAAATATTTAAATAATATTATTTAACGAGTAACTAGTATGGATACTACCATATGTGTGACCCCATTTATAAACGGATATTTATTTAAATTACCTATTATTATTTGTAATAAATTTTATCCACAATTATCGACGAATACAGATAATTTTGCCATCCTAATATTCAATCCTCAGCACACATTACATGTTAAAGACAAGTGTGAATAGAATCAATAGATGGTTCATTCTATTTTTGTTGTTGGCATATGACGCTAAACCGCGCTTAGATATGAGAGTGCAGATATGTTTGAAGAAGGAAGTAAATATTTCAAGTTACGACAAGAGTACTTATCGAAGAATTCTTAGTGAGCTTGAACAACTTTATACAGTTTATATTCAGGTTGGGACCGAAGAAAAAACTCAGAAGCTGCACAAAACAGGACAAGATGAGATGAGGCCCACCAATCCACCGTGCACGGTCCCGGAAAATACAAATCCAAAAAAGCCATAAGGCAGTGTAAAAACTTTCCAAGCGTTAAAATTTTCAGAATTTTACACTTTTTATGCATTAATAAACTAAGTAAACAAATATTTTCCTCAAAGAAAAACTATGATACTGTATGCATAAAATTTAGGTTCAGAAAATTGATCAACTCTACAAAATTCATCAATCTAAAAAGTATAAAGCTAGTTATTTTTGTTGGGATTCTCCCAAAACATGGTCTTCTTGCTTAATTTGTTGGGAAAGTTCTTCATATAAGCGAGCTGTGGTATCAGTGAACTTCTCCATGGCAACAAAGATATGCTTCAAACCTGATTGTAGGTTAGTAGTATCAACAATATCAGCATGATGCACAGCATCCCCTCGTAACAGGGCATCAGATTCCTCTCTGCCAACTTGAACCATTTTTCTCTCTCGAGCCCTCACCACTTTGTGCATCTTTTGCTCTTCCCTCTCCAACATTTTCACCTTTCTCTCCAATTCTTTGTCCGGTGTTAGCTTTTGTTGAAGGTCTAAAATATGCTTTTCCAAGAGCTCATTCACTCTCAGCATAAACCCATTTACGGCTTCAGTGACATTCCTATCTGAGAGATTATCCACTGCTTTTGACCATTTGTTACAGATCACAAACACTGGTGGTGCACCAATCTTGCTAGGTGAGAAGGGAGTTGAATCATCGGGTACTTCTTCAGGTTCATATAATAGACATCTTACTAACCAACCATTCAAGGCTTTCACAAGGGACTTCTGGGCGTGAATCCAATCTAAGAAGCTCAAATTCCATTTCTGTACCTCAGATTTCAGTCTTAGTGTTGCATCAATATGAACATTGCCAAGCTTTTTGTTTAACGATGAGGCGTCTAAAGTTTTGGCTTCAACAATTTGCTGATATTGGCGTTTGTAACATTCTTGCATATCCTTCCACATTCCGAGAAACCTTTTCATGCATGGATAATGATTAGCTAGTGGACCGGGGAAAGGGAGAATAATGGGAAAAAAATAAAAATCTTAGATGCATCACTGTTCAATACAACTTTCAAATAAACTTATATAAATATATAAACTTGAAAATAAAGAAGTCACTAAGGAGGGTCCCCCAATTAGTTAATTTATAAACTTGAAAATACAGATGTCACTCATAAGGTCTTAATTTTTTCACTTAGAAATTAGAATGTTCTTTATTTTAATTCATTATCTAATTATCTGGTTCAAGTCCCTATCGCAATTCACTGAAGTTAGATACAGAACACGATATGCTTCTAATGCTATAGTCATTAGGGTGTCATCGTTTTCTTGTTCATAATAATTAGTCCTACGGCTATAAATATCAGCTTCAAAGGTTGTTGACATAGTATTAGATTATAAACACTGTAAGCTACAGACTGAAAAACAAATAACGACCATCAAGAGTAAAACTACTAATACTTAAGCTATCCATTTTTTAACCCTTTCATGAAAGGTGAATCAAAGAAACGCAATATTATTATAGAGGTTCAAACAATTAATCATGCATTTAGTTACAAGAAACTTAGTGATGACTTACGTGAGAATAAATCTGTTGATCTGCGGCCATAACTCCTCTTCCCTCAACTTACTAATCGTAATTGATATCTTGTCAACTACTTGGATAGACATTTTCATTTTTGTAGCTAAAATCCTAATGAACGTTTGAACAGAATCAATTTTCTGTGCATCGGCATCCTTTTGTTTCATACATCTCAACTGCTTACACTTCTTCTGATGAAGCATGCGCAGTTTCTCCTCAGCCTGAAATGAAAAAAAAAAAAAAAAAACCGACAATCAATGATTTACAAGCCGTACAAAACATGAAAAAAAAAAAAAAAAAAACCGACAATCAATGATCTACAAGCCGTACAAAACATGCATAAGCTCTTGTCAACACTTTCTCTAGTCAATGTAAGACTATCTTTTTTACAATACACCATGTCTCCTTGGATACTATCATACTTGATACATGAATAATAAGATACGTGACTCAACAACGTATTTAGATAAGTTCTAACTTCATTTAAAATTAATTTTATCTTATAAAACTGAGTTGTAAGACGATCAGTGTCTACTTAAAGTGGAACTTGAAATTTTTTGAATATTATTTATTTGTTTATTTTGCTAAAGTTCAAAAGACAAGATAAAAATTCGTAGGTACAAACTTAAGAGGAAGCAAAGTGAAAAAGAGAAATAGAGGTTTATACCTTGACTTCATGATAGAGCTTTTTCTCCCACATACACAGCTTCTTGAGAGTAGAACAGAGATTAGCGTAACTGAGATCCTTGTCACTACTAATTCCTTCATACCCAGATCCCATTCTCCCCACACGAGGACTTGACGAAGGAGTAAACACATGCATCATCTTGCACGAAACTGATCCCAAAAACCTCATACTTGATTAGTTTCACCAACCACACAAAAAACAAAACTTTCGCAAATTAAAAAACACATGCATCATTATCATCATCATCATCATCATGCATATTACATCACATACCCGGATTGAGGTCAATTTTTCTATGGTAACGGAGTTTCCCAACATCCAGCATCTCCAAAATCGCGTTCCCAGAATCCGACGCTCTCTCAAACAAAATCTGAATCTCTTTCACCGCCTCAGAGAATCCTTTCGCAGAGTCACTGCATTGCGCTTTCACCACTTCCTCTTTCTCCGAAACCACCTTCTTATCCTTCTTATTCTTCGCTCCTCCATTTTCCGCCGTCGATTTAGACACGTCACCCTTCTGAACCTTTCCCCTTTCCTTCTCCGCCACGTCAGCGTCGCCGGTAGCCACGTACGGCACGTGGTATCTCTCGTACGGCTCGAAGAAGTTCAGGAAATCCCACGCCGGGCTACTCGGCGGCGGAGGCGGCGACGGCGACCTCAAACCAGAATAGCCGCCGGAGCGCGGCGGAGAAAAAGCGTCCTTGTAACAGAACAATTTGAACTTTTAACAATATACCGTCTTCGAAACTTAGGGAGGAAGGAGAACGAGATGGTGGAGATTAGACAAATCGTGGCCTTGAAGACAATCGTGGAGCGAAGAAGAGAGGTTCCCATTGCTCGCGGCGGCTAGGTTGGCGGCCTCAAACCGGAGTAGCCGCCGGAGCGCGGCGGAGAAAAAGCGTCCTCGTAACGGAACAACTTGAAGTGTTCTTTTTGGGCGTCTTCGGGTTCGGAATCGGAATGCAGACAAAGGTGCGCGTCGGAGTCGGAACTTAGGGAGGAAGGAGAAGGAGGTGGTGGAGATTTGGTTTTTGTTTCCTTAATTGGGACACTAACATCATCGGAATGATCGAAATGTTGGAAGAAAGAGAGGAAAGAGGGGCCTAGTGTTCTGAGGGAGTCCATGTGTGCCACGTGTGCGTCGGCGAGGGCGTAGCTTTGGCGAAGCGCTTCGTCGACGAATTTGCAACGGTCACGGCAGAGCGCGACTGCCGGTAGCCGGTCGAGTTTGGAGGTGTTGCAGCCCATGGTTGGGAGGAGTGACCGGCTGCGAACCAAATGAAAAGAGAGTGATTACTGATTAGTGAGTGAGGTTTCAAATGCGTGGTTTGATTTGGTTATAGTGAAATTGTTGATTGGTGTGCAACTTGCGTGCTATTGGTCTATTTCATTACGGTGTTTATTGTGTGAGGACTGGACCGATAAGCGTAACTGTGATAATAAAGTGGCGGGTAGCGCATGTAACGTCTCTTTGGTGTCATTTTTTGAGTTTTTTTTTTGCACGGATGCTCCTAAATTCACTGTTTATGGCGTGTGTGGGGGTAAGAACCTTAAACAACACAGTGAACGCCGTTACATATGTGTTCAAATTCACCCGATATTTGCTGGAAAAAAATTTAAAAGACAACATATCTTTTTGGGTAAATCGTTACAAGGTGCAACTTGTCCTACATGCTGTTTTTTTCTTTTTCTTTTATTCTTTTTTCAAAACTTACCCCTGTGCCTTTTCTTTATGACATTTTATAAAAAATTGTAATTATTATGTTAACAATATATATATATATATATATATATATATATATATTTTTTTATATAAAG